AACAAACGCAGTGCACTTTGAAAAAGTAAAATTTCTTTTTTTTTTAATGAGATGTATATAGAAAATGGGAGAAAAAATATATTTTGTGGGGCTTAATTTGTCACTCGGTTAAGCTGGGTGGCACTAAAACTCTACTCAAAACATGCCTAAAGCAATAAATATAAGGTGTCACTTTTTTATATAGGTACAAATGTTAAAGAGATTAAATTTGGAGATATAATTTACAATTTTTTATATAGGTACAAATGCTACAGAGACTAAATTTGGAGATATAATTTACAAACTAAATGATGTATCATCAATAAAAATAAGCACGTTTATCAACGTTGAAGTAATATAAACTTCCATATCTTTTAGTTTACAAGACTTTGTCTACAAATTTGGTCTCTCTAGCATTACCCTTTTGTCAATTTAAAGGTGACAGAATTTCGATACCACAAATTGGTCATTTCAATGAGAGTTCAATGTAATTCTCAAAATGGCTCTCAAATTTATTTTGCGAATTTCTATCTTTTTGAAACTCTTCTAATTGCAACCAATCTCCTGATTTTTATCCCTTGATTTGCGTGCATTAAAGGAAGAATGACACTCCTTATGTGCTTGAATTTGGACCCAACTAATTTACTATCTAGTCTAGTGACTTGCATGAACGTTGATACGTATTTCACAAGAATAGACAATTTTCAATTTACCCCAAAGCGTGAAATTAAAATTTCATCACTTGCACATTTCGTTGTATCACAGTTGTCTCATCGTCTCATATTTCTACTTTGAATCTAAACTCTAAACCACAGATGCACTAGAAACTAATATAGTCAAACTTATACAATGACATCATATTTGGATCTTACATTGTATACGAGGCATATGTGCATACGCACATATGTACATTTCGATCCAGTATATGGACCTATCTAGTGACACTGTAGAAGCAGTTCGAAGTTCTATAACGAAGTTTAGGACTTGCTTGTTTCGCTGAAAAAAATTTGAAGGGTGCAGCCTTAAACGACACTAAAGTGAACCAAAGGCACTTCTGAACCAAAGGCAAAAATATCACTTTCTAAACCAAAGACACAAAGAGGTGGCGTTCAAGAGCAAGCAAGGTTGGAAAGAGCTTTAAGGATTAATTTCGAAGATGTAAATGAAAACTTCATCAAGTGTTACTATCTGAAGGTAACAAAAGCCTCGCACCAAAACAAGAGGAACTCATCAAGACTTTTCTTATGGCCTATGCTCGTTTGTTGGTTGTTTCCTAAGATTCTAATATGACTTTGATTTTAATTTGATGCAATATATTCATTCATGTTTAATAGAGCACTAGATAGCTCTAAGAAACCAATTTATAGTTCAAGGCTTTATTCATGTGTGTATTTTCAAGGGAAAAAAAAAATCTATTAAAAACATAGACATCTGTGGCTAGTTCAGTCCTAACATGTATACCCAAAACAAATTACTAACAAAAAGATTGCTTGCCTTTTCCTTTATTCAATGGAAGAACCGAAGAACGAAAAAACTAATGATTTACGTACGAGGGATGACTACCATGTTGAAAGATCAACACCAGCCCAAAGAATAAGGGCTCAGACCATGAAAATTAATTAGCACTTGGGCTAGAAAAAGTCTAGAAGAATGGTGAGGTTTCTACGTACGAACATGCAAGATTAGTGTAATTAATTATAAACAACTCTAGCAAAGGAAGTTAGTGGAATAATCAAGCATGATGTTCCCATGCTCCTCCAAAGTTCCAACTAGGCCCTATAAAAGGAGAAAGCATCCAATCCATTTGTATCAAATAAGCAAGCAAGCAAATAACCAAGAAGTGAGAAGCAAGAAATGAGGGTGGTGAGTCATCTAGAGTTTGTCTCTAGAAAACAAGAGTGTCGTAGATTTTAAAATTATCTCTAATATTGCGTCTTTGAGAGTTTTTGTGTTGTAATATTTGGGAGAGCAATAAAAATAATTTGTTTACTTGTTTTGTTTGTCCGTGTACTATAATATTTGTGAATACGTATCCATGCACAAACTTCCAAGGTCATGAGAGTTGAACCTAGCTAGATGTTCCACTAAAAGAATGCTCGGCCTACATATGCGAAAGGAACATTTCCGATCATCCAACTTGTAAAGAAATTGAGAGGTGCCAAAAACTCTTAAAATTTTATCCACACACATACTTAACCAAAAACACTAAATTATGGTAATGTGACCGTCAGCAAAGCTAGACACAGAAGATATCCAGCCCTTTTATTCATCAGTCTTGGATACAAACATGATACAAACATTCATCTCTTTATTTTAATTACCAAAAACATGATACAAACATTCATCTCTTTATTTTACCAAATCAAGTTGAGAGGTTTGGCCTGGGCTCGCCACGTTGTGGTAGTTGACGGACTGGTGTCGGCCACCACGGAAGCACAAATGGAAAGAGGTGCAAACAACAGATTGTCTGATTTGTAGACACCTTTGACATCTCTCTTGTACGAGTATTGCACCTGATAACGTCTTTCTTGTTCCAGTCTCTGGTACTATCTATAACCAGATACACCAAATCCTCAGTATTCGGGTCGAAAACAACCGCTCTAATATGATTTATATTTGGACTAATCACAACCATTTCTTCATCCCCCAAGTATACGCTCTTATAACGTCTCACACACAAACTGCCTGCTCCACCGTGGATCATGACCGTCTGATCACCTACCTTTGCTTCATACACCTCCCAAATAGACAGAGTGCGAGTAGGAGAGTAGTACTCGCACATCCACTGACGCCCGTCAAACGTAACTAGGGAATCCATTAAACCGGAATCCCACTCGCCACACTCACTGAAAAAGCATTTATAATGAGTTCTAGTATTATCACTGTTGTCGATCATGAACGGATCAAACCCAATAAGAAACTCTCCTCCACCGCCCAGCCAATACAACATTTTGTTGGAAGCAACGCCAATACTCTCTCTACACAGGTCTCCTACCGCGATGGCGGATGGGGATGACAAAACGAACTCCCTCCATTCACCGGTCTCCGAAAAGAAGATCTGTGCTTCGATTTCGCAGGAAACTACATCATCATCGTCATCATCATCAACACGAGGATCAATTAATCTCACAACCCTGAACTTATACTCCGCATTAAGCTGGATGATGTCCCCTTGCTGATCATCTTTCTTATAGTCATAGAAGGGAAGATCGCAGGTGAACCCCACCGTTACATAACCGTAGACTTGAGGTGGGGGAGGAAGAGGAACCCACTGGACTGTGTGTGGATTGCAGATGTAGTAATCGCGCTGACTATACTCGCTTGCGCAGCACAAAACTAAGTCGTTGTAGGCACCTACCACAATTGGCTCTTGTTTCAAACCGTGGATGCTCACAAGCCCTTTGAACAACTGAGCTAGGGGCCTAGAGGATGGTGAAACTCTACTAAGGAATTCCTCCCCTTGTATGCTTATGGCAGAACCTGTTGGCTTTTTCTTACGATTCCTTTGAACACATAGAAAAAGGCGGATAAAATGAGGATCTGATAGGAGAGTGCACCAACGCTTGGAAACGAGCTTGCATTGAGAAACGGACTTAAAACAAGGGAGTCTACAAAGGATTTCAACTAATAAAGACTCTGGCAGATCATCAATATTTCTTGATGATGGCCTGGTTGCTGTTGGTGTTGAAAATATTTTATGTCTTTTAGGGTGATGAATATGATCATCAGAGGCCGAGGCCGGTGGAGGTGGTGCTGCTGCTGGGTATGACTGTGTTTTTGTACTGCTGCGGGGTCTTTTCCTAGCTATAATAGTATGATCATGACTTAGAACTCTCATGGCGACCGCCATGAATCTGATCAGATGAAAGAAAGGAGAATCGAACTGAAGTGGGAGAGAAATACAAGCATGGCTAGGCGCAATTGGATCATAGGAATGGCATGTAATTTTATAGCCACGCAACGCACCATCCATATTCCTTAACCTCCTACGAATAGGAATAGGAAAAGTAATAATTCTAGGATTAGGAATCCTAACCTTAATAGGAATAGGAAAAGTAATAATTCTAGGATTAGGAATCCTAACCCTAATGAAAATATATTAGGAATTTAGGAACAGAAACGGGGAAATAAATAATGGGGGTTTTTTTTTTTGGATAGCAAATAATGAATATATGATAGTACATACTTGCTGCTTAGTTCCGCTCGTTCCATTGCATTCCCGAAATCCAATCGTGCTCAAAAATATCTTATAAGGACATGTGTCAGGATGCTGCAATGTGAGTGGTTAAAGTTTTTATTGAAAATCTAAATATGAATTTTTAATAAATAGTGACACGTGACGTGATATATGTACGGTTTTTTACAAATCATGATATTATCAAAATGTTTTTTGTAATTACTATTTTGAAACTTCATAACTTATTTTGAAAATAACTTTAAATCTAATGGGTGTAAAATTTATCCTTAGTTAGCCCCACTCTTAACATTTGTGTTTTTGGAATGATTTATTTTATTTTAGGTGAAGTATCTTTACGCATGGTGTCCATTCACGTTGCAAGTAGATTGGGTTTTAGAAATATGTTTTCCGAAATTTTATGGGCGCCATTGACTATCCAGAAGATCAATAATTAAAAAAGTAAACAAGATCAATTTCATAAGCTAAAATTTCACTATTTACAAAAATACATTAAATAAAAATATACGAATTAGTTGTGTCACCATCATCTTGTTCCTCAAGATAAGAAAATTTGATTCAGTATGGAATCAACCATCTAAGGGTTTTACCTGAGCGGCAATTAATTACGAAATATCTGCTAATTATATGCAAGCATGCACAAAATATCACAAAACTTGTCAGCTAAAAACCATTAAGAGCACATTAATCCATTTCAGTCTAACATCCTGTAAGTTCAAAAGGACGGATGTATGTTTAGTAATCAAAACCTAATTAATCATATTCCCTGCAAAAGCTCAAACAACAAATTCTGGGCATTGAAGGGTGAACTATAACACCTTCGAGGCTAATGCGCCACCTCGTTGCAGATCTCCACGCCGAAAAGCCTGAAACGTTTCTTTTGATCAGCAAGGATTCCTTCAGCTTCATTCATATTTTGGCTTACAGCTTCAAGTTTACAGTTATCATATTGATAATTTTTAGCATCATTCTCAACCAAGCAGCTAACATCTTCGCTTTCGACGCCATCCCAGTTAACTTTAACCATGTAAAATGTTTGAGGCTCCTTGTTACCATTGTCCCCCAGTTGCTTGTACTGGCATTGGAAGAATGTAAGAATGTCTTTTGCCTTCAAATGGTGCGTCTTTACGAACCGACTCCAACCCTTGGTGAACACAAAACTCCTGCTACTCTTCCAATAACAGTACCGGAAAGTCCACGACCTCATCATATTATCATAAAACACTAGCTGGCTGGAGCAACTCTCGACCTTCTGACTTGTGGCTTCAGAAATGCTGGGAAAGCACCGTTTGGCATTGCTAACCGGTATCACAAGTCTATTCAGCTTACCAACATCACTTGGTGTCAGCTCTTTTTGGAAAAGAAGTCGGTTCAACATCTTTCCATTTCCGTTGTTATGCACCCTAGCCAAGCTGCCAAATTGGATATCACTCCTCAAACTCTCCCTTGCAGCGTGACTCCTTCGATATTCTAAGAACTCGGCCTGGTAGGAACCATCCTTGATCATTCTCAACACAGCTTCTTTAGAGTACTGATTTTGAAAGTGTGGCTCTTCAAAGGTGAATTTGGTCCATGGAAAGTTGCGATGGCAATCGCAACCACGAAGCTTGATTGCAGCGCTATCATAAGCCATAGCTGCTTCGTTCTCAGAGCTGAACGTGCCAAGCCAAACCCTTTCGTGATTGGCATATATCTGGGCACCCCAATGCCCATTTGGCTGCTCAACAACTCCTTTGAACCTTTTCGATACACGCCTACTAGCACCATCTGATGAGTCATTCGTAGCAAGGCTTGGACCGCAAACTTCTCCAGTCTTACATTTCACTCCTTTGTTTGAGACCGTGCTTGACATGCCCTCTTCCATAACGCTTCTGCAGTAATACCTAATAGGAAATTTTCAAAACGGAAGGCAAAAAATGTATGAACGAATTATTAATGTTCATAATTAATTAGCACAATTTTATGTTCACTAATTAGCTCACATTGAGGGTCTTTGATAAGATAAGACTCCAGAATTGAATCGACTGTATAAAAGTATTGGTAGAAGAGTAAACAGATAAAAAAATTTGAAAAAAATTAAAGCCTTTCTCTTTTTTTTTTTGGATTGAAAAAGATCATATATTGATTGAGCATCCAAAACAGACAATCGCATCTTGTAAATTTCATATTAAATAGCTTACTTTAAAAACAGAAAAACAGGGACACAAAAACTTGAATTATGTAAACTAGTTTTGATTAGGAAGAAGTACTTATTAGTAAAAAGCTATAGTAATTGTTCCTTCATAACAAGTCAACCAAAAAAAAGAGAATTCTCACGGCACCCGTCACTTATTAACACCAATTTACGCCAAGGACTCAAAAAGTATCTATAGTTACTACTCATTCATACAATTTTTTTTAAGAAAAAAAAAATCACATAGCACGCGTCATTTATTAACACGTAAACAATTTATGAAATCTTCTTCAACGACTCAAATTTAGTATCAAATCAATTTCTCGTACATAAAATTCAAGTCCAGAAAAAAAAGAAATGAAAAAAAAGATAGAATCTCGTGGCACACGTCGCTTATTAACACGTAAACAATTTATGCTAAGGATTTAAAAAGTATCGGTAGGTACTACACCTTCATAACAATTCCAAAAAAATAAAAGAGAAAGAATCTCATAACACACGTCGCTTATTAGCACGTAAACAATTTATGAAATCTTCTTCAATGACTCAAATTCATTATCAAAATCAACTTCTCGTAAATAAAATTCAAGTTCTTCATCATCAACTAGTAATTGCCGCGGCAGTTTCGCAAATGAAAACCATTAGTGAAAGAAACAATTAAATAAAACTACATGAAGTGAAATCTTTTAAGTAGATAACGACTGTTACCTCGACGAGTAACCCGCTGCAAATAAATGGAAGCAGCAAATCTGTTGCTCCTCCTGAAGCTAAAACAAGTTCCTCTCAGAGAAACAAAACAAAAACCAACAACATATATAGAAGAACATCAAAAACTCTATTTGGGCCAGCCTAGATAAAGCTAACACAAACCCTAGCTATTTAATACATTCATTCACCTTGGAAACAAAGAAAAAATCTTATCCAAAAAAGGGCAGTAAATCAGAATCCAGGAAAATCTGGCAGTTGTAAAAGGTAATTAATGGCACCAGAAAAAGTTTATAAATTTCTGTCCATATTTGGCACTCAGCTGTGATCCACAAGGGCTTACGTTTCCTCTTTCCACCTCCAGATTTTACAACGAAACCCGGATTTGAGTTGAAACCGGAAAATTTGGCTGTCATCATCAATGCACCCAAACAAAAGAAAATCCAATCAGCAAGTTCAAATCGTTATGAATATGAAAGAAATTAATTATTGTCTAGGTTTTGAAGAAAATAATACTTTCTGATGGTGTGGCAGACATGGCCAAGCAATTGGCTAAAAGAGTGTGCTACATTTTTTTAGTGTGGCTGGAATATGGGCAGATACACTATTATACAAGTATCTCTTAACTTTTATAATGACATATATCGTATATGCCTGTATTCTGAATACATTAAAAAATCTCTCGTTTGCATGGTTTGTATGGTATATATTATTTAATTATAAAATTATTATGATACATATATGTATGGTATGTATGTATCAATCTGTCTGGACATTAATTTGTTGCTTTTTGTATCGTAATCCTTCTGTCATCCCCTTTTTGTATGATAATCCTTCTTCTATCATGTCCCAAAAGAGGAGAAAAGGGAAGGTCCGAGGGTCTGCCTGGGAAAATGCAAAAAAAAAATAGAGATATATATATATACGGGATAAATAAATAAAATTCAATGCTTATTTTCTTGGAAGAATGAAAGAAAGAAAGAAGAGTGCACCTGGAAATTGGAAGCTGATGAGATTGTAGCTATGTAGGCGGAAGAAGGAGAGAGAGAGAGAGAGAGAGAGAGAGAGGATGGAAATGGAGGGCAGCGGAGGTGGGCGGTGGGCGGCTGACAGAAAGAGACGTGAGCACGCAGCACCATTCAACTCACTGCGTACTAGTCCAGTCTACTACTCTCCCTCATCCATTCAACTCACTTCATACAGCAGCGTATATTTCTAGTCTTCTATTTATAGCTGACTACACTGTCTATCTTCTTCCTCAACTAACATACCTACTCCCCACTCTACTCTAGCTAAAGTTTATTTTGTATAGAAGGGATTCGTAGCTCAACTTGTCAAGAGCATGTACCATCGAATATGAGGTCACAAATAAAATGTTCGCCTTATGTAACTTAAGGTGTGTTTTTTTAAATGTAATAAGTGGCGGATGCATTGAGGGGTAGGGGACTTCTGTGAACGTCCATGGATACCAAGGTGCTGACCCTCCGAACTTCGGTGAATGTCCATGAATACCTTGAGTGCTGCCCTTTTGAATATTAGAGTTGGCTTCATACATGCCCTTTTGATAAAATGTATGAAAAAAGAGTGAATGAAATGATGATTTCAGTGAATAACAAAGCATTATCATTCTTGGACAAACATATTAATGGGATGCAATGATATCAAACATGGTTAGTGTGTTTAAGATAAGTGTGTTTCTTTGTTAAGCATTCATATGAGAACAACCTTAGAACATGTTAGTTACCCTCGCAAATGAGGCATTAACAAGTGTGCATTATGCATTTCCAAATGACTTCAGGCATACCAAGACTTGATGAAATGGTGATATGCAAGCTATTTTTGGTAAAAAAAAATTGCGCTACGCTCGTTATTCTTATTGACCCCCTTAATATTATTTTCTGGATCCGCCACTAAATGTAATCAAAATAAAAAATTACATATCGATTACGGTTATGATGTGCTTACCAATTTTATGAGAATCAAAACACAAATATAATATCCGAAATGGGACTTTGAACCTAGAACATCTTTCTAACATTAGAACGAAGAGCACTACCCGACTAAGACCTAGTTGATAACTTTTCTAACAACTACGATGAAAATAGGTGATATGCACGTAACTGTTGCAAAGAAGTTGTCATCATTTTTAAGAAAAATTTACTCGCTTTTGTATACAAACAAGATAAACTTAACACATTGGTGGTGTTGGTACTCAAAAGAATGTATAGACTAATATACATCCACTCCATTTGCACTTGCAGTGTGAACAAGTTTCCACATATGAACCTATGTTCTGAACCATGGGCCCTATTGTCTAGAGGCCCATACAATCAAAGTCCAATCAAGTCGGTCCAAGACCACTGCGGCTTAAACACCCAACCCGGCCCACTCACCCATACGCGCCATCGGATCTTGCGGAGCAGTCCTCTCCGACTCGCAGCAACCGAATCAAAGATTCAGAGCTCTCTCTCTTCTGATTTCGAATCAATGGCCAAGGAAGCTTACGCCGCACGAAACCCAGATGAGGTTCACACAGACGTGCTCTCCAATGCCAGACAAGCTTGCTATAAGGTCCTATTTCGCACTCAATCTCTCTCCTCCGTTCTTTCTCTTCTGAAATGTAAATGTCGAGGATTGAAATTTGGGGTTTAATCTGCAACTTGATGTGCTTGAAAGGCACGGGACGCTTTCTATGCGTGTGTGGAGAAAGAATCGGACAAGAAGCAGACCGAAATCGCATCGAAAGGCCAGTTGTACGCAGCGGAATGCAAAGCTTCGAGGGAGGAGTTTGTCAAACACTGCCGTACTTCTTGGGTAAAATCTGAAATCCCCAATTCTCAAGTTTCAATTTTTACTTCACATTGTGGGATTTTGGGTTTCATGGAGCTCAAAGTTTTTGTTTTTATTTATTGGATTTTTGTTATTTATTTAGTTTTAATCTCTTGAGGGGTTTTGGAAATGGTTTAGGTGAAGCATTTTGATGCGCTCGACTGCAAGAACAAGAGTCTGAAGAGGCTTTTGGATGATAAGGATTCGAGGAGAGGTCCGTTGTCACTTCCAGAGCCTTACACTTACAAGCCTACCACCACTAGTTAAAACTTTTCATGTCAATTTTGGTTGAATAAATCAGTTTAATGTGTTGTTGTACAGCAATAGTAATGTGGGATTAATGCCTAGAGCTTACTTCTGACGAGTAAAAGATTCGTATGAAGAAAATGAGTATCGGTTTCTGACTCCATTTTCGTGGATCACATGTCAAATGATTACTGAATACATTTACGTGCATCTGCACTTTCGTTTTATGACAATACTGCTTGATACTATATTCTATTGTGTCTCATTGCTTCTATGTTATAAGTTACAACTTTACTAGGAATACTTCGGTGGGAGTTGGATTACATTTACATAAAAACTTAGGATACCGATAATTGCAGTGAGTGGAACGTTTATCCATTTTCGCAGGGGTATGAAGCTTGACTTGGCCCCTGAAGACTGAAGGAATCATCCTGATCGGTTCCTGGGTTCTTGTTCAATTCATTATCTGGTGGGAGGCGGAGATCTATACTGGTTTTGAGGCTTGCAGAGGGGTGGTACCACTTTTGGAAGTTGTCAGTTTTTGGTGTCCATTTATGTTTGAATAAGAAACATTGGAGAAGAAAGGTGTCTATACCTGCCAAAATGTGCTTTTCGCACAATTTTATTTTGTATTAATTTGAATGCTTACGTAGTTGGAATACTTCTCTGTGGTTCTTAAGTTTGATGTTCTTTACACACCTAAGAAATCTAGGCAATCGGAAGAATTAAGGCGGTAGCATGTGGTCAATCCCAGTGTTCTGATCGAAGGTATCCATGGAGAGAATGTAGAGAATTCCAGAGCCTAGTCGGTATGAGAAGCCGAGGATTTGCTGAGCCAAAACAGTCAGTAAACTGGTTATGATAAGAAAACTTCAATTTGTTTACAGGTTTTTGAGACTTGAAACTGGAGTGGAGATGCTTTGCTTAGTTTCTCAATAGGGAAACTGGATGATGTGATTAGGAATGCAGTAGAAAATCCTTCATACATTCCTTCTGTTTTTCCCGCTTTTACATGACAGGGTTTAGATCTCGATTTCTCGAGCTAGAGATCATGTGCTTGATGGATTCGATTCTTACCTATTGAACGTGAAATTTTTTGCATCTGCATTTGGAATGACTTTGTGAAACTGCAGATCGTGCTTCTTGTTAGCGACAGTTGATACAAGCATATCGAATTCATTGCTGTAGGTTACTGACATGTTATTTTTAGCTCTGGAACCACAGTTCATAGGTTTGAAGAATCCTGCAAGTTCAGAGAGTTTGCTTGTATTGTTCCCCTTCAATTTGGACGCAAGTTTGCGAAAAAAAAAAATCGCAAAACGAACACGATTAGGTTGTTTAGTAACTTGTTGAATTTGAACTAATCAAAATCAATTGGTTCTGGGATTGAATTGAATTCGGAGCAGTTTTGTTCAGATAGGTTATCCGCAATCTGATGAAGGCCTGCACTTGCAGATGGGTGCCACCTTTCTTTATATGAACGAATTTCATCTCAGTTTTTCTCTCTTCTAAGTATAAGAAAAACATCGGTAAGGTTGCGTGATTAGGAAAGCTCTCGTAGTAGGTGGAACCAACGAAAGGTCAGATATGATTAAAATACATGAGGTTTTATGCTTTTGCAAAAAATACTTTACAGATGACGCGATCGGGTATCCTACCAAATTTTTATAATCGTTTTCCTTTGCCTTGGCTGTCATATCTCTATGCACTGCAATCGCATATTCTGAATAGAACAATTCAGGGAAAATCGTTTCTGAGTTTATTAGTCTTGAAAAGGAACCACTAATCTTAATTTAAGCGCAAGTAAAAATATTGAGAGATTTTTCAATTTACTCAGAACACACGGCGGTACGTTATATGTTATTATACAGAAACAGAGAGAGCAACATCTAATCTTAATTAAGTGCAAGTAAAAATTATGGTGTATAGTCAACAGAGTTCTAAACAATTGACACATATCCTTTTACTTTATTATTTTTTTTTTTAATTGAAAAAAGTAACATTTAATTTTAAAGTTAGGTGAAATGACATATGTCAATTGATTAGGTATATGGTGAGCATTCACCATAATTATGGTGGTGACAAAAAATGGTTCTATTTTTTTTTTCATGTATCCCTCTATTTGTATAATGGCATATGGCGTATGTGCTGGAATTTCAAACACACTAAAAAATCTCATGTAAATATTAAACAAATATACTTTGGAAAATGTAACAACAATTTTCAATGCCACATTTTTATTATTTTTGGTTCCTGCAACATCTTTTCTTATTGGACAAGGATTGTCTGCTCTCCACTTTCGGTGCCCTTTCTGTGCCCTCCTGTTTTGTGTAGTCACGGTTAAGCCACGTCAACATTTTATATATATTTTTTTATAGATATAATAAAACAAAAATGAATAGTAATATAAAACGTTGACGTGACTTAACCGTGACCACACAAACAGGAGGGCATAGAGAGGGCACCGGAAATGGAGGGCAGACAATCCTTGTCCTTTCTTATTAGTTATATTTATGAACTGTTTAATCATCCTGAAATCATATTGTGCAATCTCTTTGACTAGCTCAGTGGAGTTATGGGCAAAAATAGATTAATAATAATAAAAACAATGTAATAATAATTATATACCCTAAACCACAGTGAGGTGGTGGTAGTTCAATTGTTGAAGATGAATTTTAAGCCCGTATTTCACACAGCAAGTTTTGAGTTTGATTCTTGAAACTAATGAATCACACGATGGTGGCAGGGGAGATAATGTTTTTTTTTAATTTTTTTGGCTCCTGAAAAAATAAATTATCGTGGTGAAGTCATTAACTGATTCTTTTTGTTTTAGAGAAATAATTAAATAAACCCTAAAAAAATATTAGGGATTTAGAAATGGAGGGTGAATGGTTGAATGATGGGGTGGTGAAGAATTGACAAAAAGTAGTGGACTACATGTCTCTTAATATTCCCATGTGCATCATCCATGTATGAAATATTGAAAAAAGAATGCGAAGAAGAATATGTAAATTGAATATTTTGGGCAGATCTCGGAAGATCAAGCATGAAAGCTCTTTGATACCAATATCTACCTCCAAATCAATAAGCCGGCTGTGGGCATGCATCTCTGTCGATCTCGGTCTCGACATATTAATAAACAAAATAAGAAAAAAAGGAGGGTAGAAGATGAAAATGAGAGTGTGAAAATTACTATTTTTTTTAAGAGCTTGATGTGAGAGCAATGAGTCCTTACAGCTCGAGAGATTCTTACGTTTGGAGGAAGATTTATAAACTATGACTAGACATGATGAACGATGAAGAGATGAAGTTATATACTCAATGACTTACGAATAACGAGATTAGTCATAACTAAGTATCGAAGTCATAAAAAATATATGATGTAACTGTTCTCGTCATACGAGTCAAACTACATGTAACTTCCAACTACATGTAAACTAACAAATTATACCGAATCAAGACGAATTGATAAAGCCATATAAAAGAACATGTTATCTTGAACCTCTCCTCCTTTTTTTAATATTAGTTCTGTTTCATTAGTCATGGTGCCTTCTAACCTAACGATAATTAATAAATAATCAATACAAGTCTTTTTAATTTTGATTTAGCTAACATAGGATAGTAGAATAAAGAAGGTAAGTAAAGGGTAATATAATATGTGTTTTTTTTAATAAGAAGGGGATGTGGCTTCGCCACGATAATCTACATTTTTGAGAGCCAGAAGGACTCACATAAATATTTTACCATTTTTCTGGTCACTATCGTGTTATTCACTAGTGTCAAATATCAAATCTAAGATATACCGTGTGAAACATAGGCCTTAAATTCGTCCCAACTATTAGACCACCATGTGAAGGTTAATACAATACGTGTGTTGTCCCTTGCCTTTTGTAAACAATGTATACCACCTCAACTCTACGAATCACCCAAACGCAACTCTTTCTAATCACATATGATAACATGATTACGAATCGATTTCGATTTGAACCGTCAAGTAATTATATGTGCTGTAGTTCATTAAGTTTGCTTTGTTTGTGTGTTAAGTTTCTTATGCACCAAGTACTAGCGAGTTGATATGGAGAAAAACTTCAGTATTACAATATGCGTCGTCAGACTATCCTTATAAAGGAATGAATCTTTTTGTATTTAAGCACGATTTAGTATGTAAGAGTACAATTTATCAATGTACATAATTTCACGTGTTGAATGAGTATTTGACAAATCACATAATCAGACTATCCTATTAAAACATTACATTCAATTAGTCAAATAGTGTTAAAATCATAAAGAATGATTGGACTCCCATGATAACTTATCATATACGTTTCGAGTTAAAATCATCCATAGAAATAAGGAGAAAATTGTTGACTCAAGAGAAGAGAAGAAAAATTCATACGTGCAAAAGAAGGGTAAAATCTGAGTCCAAGTTGTCTAGCAATCATCATCGCAACGATTGAAGGAGATGGGATTAGAAAGATGGGATGAAACAACAAGAGTTAGGTACCACTTAAACCTAACATCCAAGAGACTGATGGATCCTTCCAAGTTCCAACAACTAAGAACAAAATTAGAGTTCATGGGTGGGTAAGTTGCATTGATTATTTTTTCATGCCAAATTGTATATTTTTTTTTAGACAAATCACAGTTTAGTGCGTTGCTAGAGAAAATTTCTCTAACATATAAAGGAACAAACCATAATTTTGGTCATGTTGTCTAATCAATTTTAAGTACGACTAGTGTATTAAGTCAACTTTCACATTAAACGAGAACGTAAAGTCATGTAGAATAAAAATCTCATACTTTTATAAGACGTATGCACACCTCTCGCCAAACTTTTCTTTAAATTGTCATACACAAGGTGATCAGGCTTACCAAGTGAAATGTCTTTGTCGTAAAATGGAAGAAAAATATAACACTCAGTGGACCTAAAATCTAAAAGAACTTTCAACAAACAAAACCCGAAAAAGAAAAAGTCATCAAAGCTTAGCCTAACTGCTGCCCATTCGGTTTCGATAAAATACTCCTCCTTAATAATTCTCTCATCATTATTAAACCCTAGTCATTTCATTTCCAACCTATAATCATGATTTTTCAAGAATCAAGATAAACATGCTCGATAACTTTGAAATATGAAATATCTCGAAACATACCAGAAATTCACAAGTACATTGGAGAAGAATCGAGATCCTCTCTAGAATTTTTGTGTCAGGAGTTCAAACATCAAGAGATTCGAGACATTGAAGAGAGAGATCCAGACTTTTGGTTTGTGCGAGGTAGCCAGTGTGATGAGCTAATGTGATGAGTAGTTCAGTTCTCATAGTCTTTGAATTCCAGACACAAAAACACTGAGAGAGTCTCAATTCATTGCGAACCAAATTACACTAGAAAATAATAATTTTCTTCAGATAAAACAACAAAAGAAAAGATTAAATCAAGGGAAAAAAAAAACAAAGAGACCCCAAAAACATCTTTTTGTAAAAAGGGGTTTTATGGAGGATCTGGTGGTGCGGTTGAGTTAGCTTTTAGCCAAAGTCTACGCAAATACGGCGTCGTTGGAAAAGCACCACCCTTGATGCCTTATTTTCGTAGACTTTAGACGGCCTTGGAGTCCACGTCACTATGTATGTTCATTTGTCGCCAGAAAGTAAATCCAAAGCCAAAAGGTCAGTCAGGGCTTGGAGACGGAGGTGGCGTCTTTGACGGAACCGTCAACCCCGCCGTTGCCCATGGTGGCTGACTGGACTGTCAGCACGGACATGCTGGGAGAGGAGGGCCCGTCACCGCCGTTGGACGGGACAACTTGGTGGTTGTTGCTGTTGTTGTGGAGGAGGGGGTTCCTGGAGTGACATGTGGCGGTGGAGATGGCGGTGGCCAACGAAATCGGCATGAGGCAGAGGCCTTTTCCCTGGAGGTACTGCATGGCGGAGCCCATGTCTTTCTCCATGAGCTTGGCGACTTGGTGTTCCGTCACCGTCATGCTGTTGTCGTTGGATGAGGAGGCCGTTTGGTTGCCGTTTGAGCTCCGTCCGCGGGTCCCGCCGTTGGCACTGGCTTGGATACAGTCACCGCCACCCTACAGCGACGACCAAAGATTAAAATATTAGTTGATTTTTTCTTAAAGGTGTGAAAAGGAAAGGACAAAGGCCAAAAGAGAAAGACGAATCTGAGAAAGTGGCACGCGTGCTGCTTTTTCTTTTGTCGTTTTGTATGAAGGAGAATATGGGGTTGGTCAGAGGAAATTTTTAGTTGTGACGGAAACGCGTGTTTTAATAGAAGTGGTGAGAAATTTTATTTTTTAAGTTATTAACATTTTAACACATATATCCCACCATTTATATAGTAACAAATGATGTATCACCGCGTGTACCGATAATATTGAAAAATCTCTTGTTGGTTTGGTACACTGCTGGGTGTAGGGTGGGTGAAAATGGGGTGGTATTGGTGGGTTTCTGCTTGGCCAAGATACGTATAAGGTCCAAGCGGTTTGCAAAATGTTCTAATCCGAGGACATTCGTCAACTTTCATTAATTTCTTGCACAAAATATACACTCTCATAACACATTGTGTAAATTTGACAGATTTCTTACACAAAAGTGTTAAAGAGCGACGAATGTCCTCGTCTTGCAATTCGCAAACTACAATATCTCAAATCAATGCAGTTGAAAATATAGAAACGAAAATGGCACAAGACTTATTCACACAAGTACGCCTTTATGTTAGTACCCAAATCAATAATGCAATGTCATATGTTTAAATTTTCTCATATAACATCAATGTGTTATTAGTTTATAAATGTACTTGGTGTAGATAAGTCGAGATTTCAAAAGTATACATAATGGTATATTATGGGTGGGTTTATTTTGAATTGAATTTACCTCAGAGGACATATCAGCAACAAGGGGAGCAACAGCAGCTGCACCGCCCAACCTGCTCATGCTCAGAACCTTCATATTGTGGTGTGCCCAAAAAGCACAATGCCAGTCAGTAAACATGACTAATTAACACATTAATTACTTAATTATCATATCCAGATTCTAATTTAGCAAACAATATCAAGTCAACCAACCAGGGAATCTCTCTTTTTTCCTTTAATTAATCAATAATTATACACTTATGAGCACATAAAATAATAAGTTAACTTAAAAGATGAGAGCAGTACCTTGACTTGGAGCTGGAGGAATTTTACATAATCGATTATCTCATCCAGCATTGAAGCTTTGTCTGCCTGTCATTCCAAAACCCACATCCAATTCATTAAATTATTAGATCCCATCTCATATGGAAAACATATATGTATACATATACACACACATGGCATATAGAAATATACTAAACTAGTTTTAAACAACTGATAGCGTGAGTGGTTTTAATTGTTAGTTGTTAGGAAATGAGGGGAATCGTGGGGATCGAGTCCGAACCATAGTGCATATGCATGATTAACTTCCGTTTTTGCGGTAAAGAGCCATTTGCACCCTAAACTGGTTTTACAAATACTTAAAAGTAGTTACTTGCGACCCAATAAGTATATGGTTAAGCTACAAGAATATAGGCTTTGCCATGACAGTCTACCGTTTTGAAGGCTGGGAATGCTCAAAGGGGCATTTGAGCCTTTCCTGTCCACCATCGTGTGATTCACCAGCATCAAGAATCGAACCCAGAACGTGCCGCGCGGAAAACAAGCATGGAATTCATCCTAAACCACTGAGTCACCCCATGATGGTTTTACTTAATCATTAGATTAAAAAATTATTTATACTAATATTTTCTTGAGTCAATATTATTTACAAGAATGCAAGTCTAACTAACTAGTAAAGTTTCCAATACTCCATTAGTTCATTATTAGCCTAACAAATCGGCATTTGGGTCGTCCGGAGTACCCCTTTTTCTCCTTTCTTTTGCGCACGGAAGGATTAATTACCATTTTTTTGTTCAAAACAAAACCTCCTACTGAATGGAAGACGAACACTTGTCTACCGAACGAGAAATTTACCTACACTCGCTTTTTAAGCATTCTAAGCTAATAACATACCATAAGTCTATAATGTATTTTTGCTTTTTCACTGTAAAATTACTTTGATAGACCGATATAGTGACATATTAACAATGTGTTATGCGTTAGATATTTTATACTCAATCTCAATCATTTATTTTTTTCGTATCACTTAACGCTAATTGGCATTGAAGAAAAATTGCTAACAATGAAACGCAAATATTTACATTGTTTAATCTGGATTAACAGATTATGATTGAGAAGTAATTAATCGGTTAATTAATTAATTGAACTAAATTACCTTGTTGGCATTGGGAACGAGCTCCTGCAGAGCCTTCATCCTCTCTGCAATTCTCTCTCTCCGTAACTGCAAGTGCAACCCCATTTCAGTAAGAAATCAGAATAACTGACGAATAGAAACAAACAAAGAATTGCAGCCGTTTCTGTTTGGTTGCGCAGATAACAACGAAAAAAACTTTAATGAAAAATTTTTGGTACAATTTATTTTAACAAAAAAATCATATTTTTACTTTAAAAAGTTAATCATAATACTATTTACTTTCTCTTTTATTTTGTTCTTATTTGTTCTTATTTGTTCTTATCGTTAATACGGAAAGATTCTTTTTCATTATTTTCCTAAAAACAAAATTGACTGAAACGCACTCTTTCGGCTATGCTGTGTGGGTCAGTGGCTTGACCTCTTCTCGCCCTGACTCTGGGCCTCGGTTGGACCGGCGCTGCCCCAGCCGAGCCACCCGCCGGAGCTTGGTTCAACGCCGCCCCTGCACCTCCGTAGTTCTGCGCTTGCAGCTGACCTCCCTGTGCATAATTCTCAATCCGAATTAAAACCAATCGTGATTAATTAAATTAATAATAATAATTAAATAAAATTAAGAGCAGGGGCATGCCTGAGGGTGGTGAAAATTTGGAGACTGAGAATTCGCAGCTCCATGCAGTGATGCACCGAAGCCATTGAACAGGGATTGAACGGAAGAAGCCCCATCGGCGCCCTGTAAAATAACGTATTTACATTTATGCCACTCCATTAGTTCACCATTGTAAATTTACATTTATGCCTTCAGTTCCAGACACTGAGAGATGGAGAGAGATACTCACCACTTGATTGGGGGATTTGAAGGAGGAGCCGTCGCCGACGTCGTTGTTGGAGCGGCCAAAGTCGCCGTTGTTTCCCAAAGACAATCCCGTGGGACCAAAGCCGGAGTCGGCAGCGCCTGATCTGGACATCATGAGCTGGTGCTGGAGCATCATGGCGGCAGCAGCTGCGGCTGATGCGGAGGCGGACTTGTTAGCGCCGGAACCGGCGCTGATCTGCTGGCTGCGAAACTTGGCGGCGAGGGTGGCGGAGTCGTCGTAAGAGAAGACGACATTGTCGGGGTTGGAGGAGAGCGGAGGCGGGGCATCGTCGGCGGCAGAGGCCCAGGAGGGGCCGAGGGTGGAGAGCATTTGCTCGAGGAAGTCGTCGTGGGTGGCGGAGTCGAAGTGGGAGGCGGAGGGGGTTGGAATTTGATGATGCATCTGGGAGTGAGAGTGTGGTTGTTGTTGGAGGTGGTGGTGGTCTTGGAGGGAGAGTTGGGAGGAGGAGGCTGAGGAGTTCAACAAGGAGTTCATTTCCTGCATTTCTCTCAACAAGGAGTTCATTTCCTGCATTTCTCTGCTACAAGGCTGCATATATATATATATATATATATATATAAACACGCACACACACACACACACAATCAATATATATAGATATACTATATAGACAGATGACTAGAGATGATTAGGTGGAGATTAATCAAATTTGGGGAGGATTAATTAATTAGATTTGGGGGGTTTAGAGTGGAATTATTGGAGGAGGAGGGAAAGGCGAAAGAGTTTGGGAATGGCGGTTTTTGGTGAAGGGAGGGGGTGAGAGAGATTATAAATAGGGAAAAATGGCCGAGTGTGTGTGCGTTTTGCGTGGATGGGGCCCATTCTCACCCGTCAAACGCGTCTAGCATACTCTTTTGGTCAGACACTAGAGTAGAGATACCTGAGAGTACCAAATCCACACTAGTACTGTCCTGTATGCGTTTTGGCTAATGGCAGTGTGTTCGTCACATTTTACTTGAATTTGAATTGAAAAATATTAAGAGCATTCTCTTAAAAACGGGTTTAAGTCAAGCATTGTGTTCGTCTTTTTCACTTGAATTTGAACTAATAAATGTTAAGTATAATCTTTTAATAGTGGGACTCTCTATGTACCCTCTGTTATCTCACAGTTTAACTTAAATTGTCGTGCCAACATTATAAAACATTATGTAACATCCCACATCGCCTAGGGGAATGATCTTTAAATGTATATTTTCATCCCTACCTAGCACGAGGCCTTTTGGGAGCTTACTGACTTCGGGTTCTGTAGGAACTTCGAAGTTAAGCGAAAAGGAGGTCAGAGCACTCCCAGGATGGGTGACCCATTGGGAAGTTGCTCGTGAGTTCTCAAAAACAAAACCGTGTGGGAATGGTAAGCCCAAAGCGGACAATATCGTGGTGCTACGGTGGTGGAACGGGCCCGGGATGTAACAAATGGTATCAGAGCCAATCCCTGACCAGAAGTGTGCCGACGAGGACGTCAGGCCCCTAAGGGGGGTGGATTGTAACATCCCACATCGCCCAGGGGAGTGATCCTTAAATGTATATTTCCATCCCTACCTAGCACGAGGCATTTTGGGAGCTCATTGGCTTCGGGTTCCGTAGGAACTTCGAAGTTAAGCGAGAAGGAGGCCAGAGCACTCCCAGGATGGGTGACCCACTGGGAAGTTGCTAGTGAGTTTCCAAAAACAAAACTGTGAATGAATGGTAAGCCCAAAGCGGACAATATTGTGCTACGGTTGCGGAACGGGCCCGGGATGTGGTGGACCTGGACGGGGATGTGACACATTGTATCAAAAACATGATGTGTTAAAGAGTCCATGGAGAATCCCATTTTTCAATAAATGGTTACCATGGAAAACAGCCGAATTGATTAGTTATGTGACCAATACGCAATGTGTTTAGAAGTTCATGCGTTATAGAACTTGCCACTAAAAACTAGCTTAAATTGGCTTGTTAGTGAAGGGTGCTTAAAAACTCCCGTTTGGTAGGCTGAATGTGGTTGAGTCTTAGGGATAGAATTGGATTGAAATAGACTTGTAAGACATGACTTATAACCCATGTTTAATGATTAGATAACCCACTTTATTATAAATCCATAACCCATCATGTCTAAGTCTTATTCATTTCACATTTTGACACATCAAGTAAGAAACTTGACTCAGGTCCATTTTTACTGATCACAATCTATCCCAACCAAGATCTAAAATATATATGATATCGGAAATATCGGTAGTCTAAAAACACGGAAATTTCGATGAAATATTGAGATATTATCGATATCGATAAAAATTGAATAAAAACCACAGAAATTGTAAGAAAAACTTGAAAATTTTTATTGAAACTTTGCAAGATGTTTATTTAGTCAATTATCTATTAGTTTATCACAAAAAATTGGAAGGAAATGCATTGCATAATGGATTTAACTAATTTAAGTTGATTATATAGTGAGCTGTCAAACATTGTAAGTATATAAAATATGTAGTAATTAATGAAAGAAATTTAAACACACCATAATCATTTATATATAATGAATTAGTACAATATTTTACATTTTATACATTGCATGGTAAGATACATGAGTGACTTAGTATCATGTAGAATTCCTATCAAGGTCTAAAATATCGATGATATCGGAAATATCGGTAGTCCAAAAACACGAAAATTTCGATAAAAATATCAGGATAATATCGATATTTTAGACCTTGATCCCAACTAGCCCATCAGACAAGCCACTCCAAGACATGTTGTTTTTCATGGACAATTGAATCCTAACTCAATGTATTTAACGTTGGGTAAAAGAATCGTTCAAAACAAGCAAATCGAACCAAGTTGATGGTTCGATTCGGTTTTCTCAATGACTACTAGAATGACCATATGAAGTCCACTTTGCTTCTCTTAATTTCTTACAAGGGAAAATTAATTAAACCAAACTGAAGCCAATCAGTAAATGAATTGATTTGTTTCCGTTAATGTCTTCTACACTACTAGTTTAGGGCCTAAACCGAACCAAATTGAACTCTTGAAAACATTTTTCCAATTACGATATGGACTCTAAAACAAGTAAAACCAAATCGCGTCCATCCTCAATTGTAACTTGAATCTAATATTGTGCGTGTTAATATAATTTTTTTTTAAATAATTTTCATAATGTACATAACTCAATTGTGCTAGTTACTATCAGATCTAAATTCTCCTCCTATTTGAATGTTCAAGATTAAGCAACGACATCATTTTGTTTTATCTTCTAAGAAATAAAAAGAGAACGAAAAAAAAAGGAGAGGAGGGAAAAATAGAGGGGTGAGAATCCAACTCCTTTAGTTCCACAAATTTTGTAACTTGAATCTAATATTGTGCGTGTTATTGTAATTTTTGTTTTAATAATTTTCATAATGTACATAACTCAATTGTGCTAGTTACTCTCAGATCTGAATTTTCCTCCTATTTGAACGCTTAAGATTAAGCTACGATATTATTTTGTTTTATCTTCTAAGAAATAAAAAGAGAAGGGAAAGAAATGAGAGGAGAGAAAATTTGAGGGGTGAGAATCCCACACGTTTGTTTCTCTCATTCATCCAACCCATCTCTATCGCAACGTTTTTCTCTTAGTTCGGCAACTTCGTTGCGTGGTGGGTTCGTAAGTAGGAATTAACCATTTTTCTTTGGGCTTGGCATTCACATCAAAGTTCAACATGTTCAATCATATATAGTCTTTTCTTCTTAAGAAAAATGAATTTTTAACTCATAGCCTCGCCTTTTAACTTCAATTTAAAAAACTCGTATTTGCATCCGTTTAGTCTTCGTCTAGACGCTTAGGCGCTAGATCTCAACCCATCGTCTGACTGGTACCTTTTAGAACATAGATAATTCACCATATGATTTGTTCAAGATATACTCGCATTTTTTTATACAAGAGCATCAATGTGCAAAGATTAGAAAATGGGTACATACATTTTTAATTAGATTTATGGAATTTCAACCACTAAAATGCTCAAGCTTTGTTTGCTAAAAGCAAGACCAGTGGGATTATGATCTTGTTATGTTAAAATTCAGCAGCGTTGTGATTGTTGTGGCCTCTCATTTAGGATGCAATCTTAGTTGTAATTCCAATTTCCAAACCATATTCATTGCATCCAAATATCGAATATTATTAGGTTAAGAAATTCATTTTCTCATTCATTTAATTAATTTGTTAGTTTGTTAACAATGGATAGTGATTTTCGCACTTTATTTTTTTTGCTCCCGCATGCAGTAAGTAGTTCTTATGGCATCGGACCAAAGTCTTGCAAATTGATATTTTACAACACTTCTATCAATTAAATGCTTTTATCCGTAGAATAAAGCAACTTGGTATACCTATTTTTTTTATATTCATACTTCATGTTTATGAAATTTATTTCTTTGCTACAACTAATAAAAATTCTTAATTTTGAAATGATCGAGTCACAAATGGAAATGATCATCATTGACTGATTCATATTTTACGTACAAACCCATATACTCTTTTAGACAGTTCATGCACAAGGATCTCAATAAACCATATCCTGCTCCTAATTAATTGATTAATTAAACAAGTATAAAATAGTATATTCATTAGTTTCAAGGCGATGGTTTGAGCTGTGAAGAATGAATACATAATTTTTAATCAAACCGAAATCTGACTCATACAACCACAATAATAATTAAGTTTTATTCCACTCAGTGGGGTTGGTTGTATGAATTATAGAATGTCACTGCGCTTGATTTTGTGTCAAGTCTTTCGTTGCTGATGTGAAAATTAACTTGACACACAAATTAAACCCTATTAATGACAATTGTAGTAATGATGCAAGTAGGGATCGTTCTAAACCGGGGATTAACTAGGGATGCTAATCAACACAAATAAGACTCAAAAACACTAAACTAGACTCTATAGACTCAAAACTAACTCAAAACACTCAAAACAGCAAGAAACAATAAAAAAAAACTCAATTCTAGACCTAATAAGTGACTTGGACGAAAATAGAACTTAAAAGACTCAAAAGACCAAAAGAAAACAGGTTTTGACTCTAAAAACAAGACTTAATGAATGGGGATTTTGTTTTGACGAAATTGAAAGTTAAAACATAAACTTTGAAAACAAACTTAACAAAAACGATTTTGGATGAAAAAGAATGGTGAAATGCTAGTTAGAGGGTTCCTTCTCCACACATGAAACATATGCATACGACTCGATTTCCAGTTACTCTTTCAACAAACCATGAATGACAATGCCCCAAATTAACTAGATTGCACCAATTAATTCTCAGATTTCCCTAGATTCATTGAATTGAATGGAATACGCATTACAACCAAATTATTCTTATCAAGGACCCTAACTATGGAATACGCATGATAGAGACACATATCAAAGATCATTAAGTTAAATGGAAATCATAAGCATTGACGAGGCATTCATAACTATGGAATACGCATGTTACTCTTGCCAAGGATTTACTTAACACAATCGTGACTAGCGACTTTTACTACTTATGAATATAAGTTAATAACGATTAGGTGAAATTCCCTTATACTCTAGCATCAAATTCATGCATGCAAACTAAGTGTCGACCCTCAATCAACATACATAAACATGTTATCAATCAAATAGATAAGTAAACCACATTCACGATTTATGAAATCATAACTGGAGGAAGTCAAGTCATATAAAACATATGATCATGGCTTTGAATTCCCCTCTAACTATAAAGAAATTAGTTCCTCATGTTCGCAAATAAACAAAGATAAAT